GGGGCTGAGGCTGGGGAGCCTGGAGGGGGCTGGGCTGAGGGCTGGGATCTGAGGGGCTGTGCTGGGACCCAGCCTCTGATTCCCTTGCAGGGACCCTCCCCAAGCCCACCCTGTGGGCTGAGCCAGGCTCTGTGATCGCCCGGGGAAGGCCAGTGACCATCTGGTGTGAGGGTCCCCTGGAGGCCCAGGAGTTCCGTCTGGATAAAGAGGGAAGCTCAGTGTCCTCGGTCAGCCCGAGCCCACAGGGGCCCAGGAACAAGGCCAAGTTCTCCTTCCCGTCCATGACTGAGCACCATGCAGGGAGATATCAATGTTATTATCGCAGCCCTGCTGGGTGGTCAGAGCGCAGTGACCCCCTGGAGCTGGTGGTGACAGGTGAGAGGACACTCAGGGGTCCCAGCCCCAGGCTCTGCCCTCAGGGAGGGGGTCTGCCCCCAGGGGTCCCTCTCACAGCCCAGCTGGGGGTGGTGTGGAGGAGGGAGCCATGAACACCTGCCTCCTTCTCTCCTAGGATCCTACAGCAAACCCTGGCTCTCAGCCCTGCCCAGCCCTGTGGTGACCTCAGGAGGGAACGTGACCCTCCAGTGTGGCTCAGGGCAGGGATATGACAGGTTTGTTCTCACCAAGGAAGGAGGACACCACCTCACCTGGACCCTGGACTCACAGATACTCCCCAGTTGGCATGTCCAGTCCCTGTTCCCTGTGGGCCCTGTGACGTCCAGCCACAGGTGGACATTCACATGCTATGGCTACTACAGGCATGAACCCCAGGTGTGGTCAGTGCCCAGTGACCCCCTGGAGCTCCTGGTCTCAGGTGAGGAAGCTCCATCTTCCCCTGACACACTTGGGGACATTAAGCAGGGACTTGGAGGCCTCTTCCTTAGGATGGCCCCAGGTGAGAGAAAGGGGAGAGAATCAGGGACACCTGACCAGAGTCCCCAGGTGTGAGAGGGTGACCTGCAGGCAGGACGGGGGGAGGCAGGGGGTTGGCAGGGTCCAGCCCTCAGCCCAGGCTCCTCTTCCTCCAGGGGTGTCCAGGAAGCCCTCCCTCCTGACCCAGCAGGGCCCTGTCCTGGCCCCTGGAGAGA